CTTTTTCTTTTTCTTTTTCTTTTTCTTTTTTTTTTTTAATAGAACCAGACTGAGAAAGATGATCTCTGTCGCAATAATATGTATTGCAGGGCTGAGTACCTGAGAACTATAATATAATAAGGGTTGAACGACCCCGCAGTGATACTATTAAGGGAATAGAACGCTTATTGTAATACAATATTGTGATAGAATAAAAATTCACGCCCTATTAGGAGACGTTTACTTTTATGTCTCGTGCATGATATCGTCGTATAAGCCGATCGTATCGATCGCGATCCTCCACTTCGCGATCAATCCGTCGGAATGTTGGTTCAGGAGTCGCCCCCTCCCTGTTCACCGCCCTCCCTATACTTCTTTTTCCTTTTTCTCTCTCTCTTTCTCTCTCCCCTTTCTTCTCGATTCCGAATCACCAGCGATCCAGCTGGAACGCGGCGCAACTTGCGAAGTATACGTCGATCGGTGCCGAATTTTCCAGCGGTCCGAGAAAGATGGAAGGTGAAAGAGGAACAGAGTGAAAGAAAAAGAGTGGGAGTATGAGAACGGTGACAGAGGGACAGAGAAAGAGAGAGCGAGTAAAAATGTAAATTATTTATTTTTGATATTGAAATTAATATTTAAATTTTCTGTTTTTCTGAAGAAATTTAATTACTGTTATCGTTTATGCTAATTGTTAGATTTTAACTGATACTTAAAATTCTTTGAAAAATGAAAAATAATGTTTATCCAAATATTAGAATTTTAAATTTTGACGTATAAAAAGTGATTGTATGTGTAAATTCTATTAATATTTGAATATTTTGCGATATTAAAAATTACTTACAAATATTGAAAAGCAATGTAATCGCCAATCAGAAATTGAACTCAAATTATCAGAAATATAAGGAGTAATTAAAAATGAGCAATATTAATAAAATGGTCTCCTATTACTTTGTGTCGCAATATTATTATGTATGATATCAAAATGGTATTGAGTAAGAATAGAGATTACGTCATGTGATAAAACTGTAATATTATCTACTCAATTATAAGAAACACCCAAAGCGTTTAATCTCAAAAATGTTAAGTTAAATCGCGCGCGTGTATTTTACACTGCCATAAAAAATAAGATTTTTTAAGAAAATATTTTGCAGAAGACAAGAGAAGGAAGGCTGACGGCTGTTACGCGATATCGGCGCAGTTTTGAGTGATGAATTAGCACTGCTTCACTTTCGCGCGAGAGGACTTTGTGTGACCCGAAAACGTGATCACGAGTATCCCGGCCCCGAAATCGCGATATCTTGTATATCCCACGAGCAGAGCGCCCTCCTATATGCGTATCCGTCTGTTACCGGCTAGAAAGTGAAACGTCAAGTCGCTGTTTACAGAGCGGAGTGGAACGCACGTGACGATTCCACTCTTGTATCGGTGTTCGTCGCACGATAATGATTTGATAGTGAATGGAGGGACGCGTGAATGTGCCTACTTCGATGTATCTCTTTTCAATAACTTGCACTTTGACGCACGACACAAATTTCAGTCTGGTGATAGCGGAGATTAGTTGATAGTGCGGTGTAGCGTAGTCTTTCTTTCTTATTACGATAATGTTGTACGAAGGAATGTCACTGCGAAAGGGACATGCCGTCTTGAAATCTATTGTACAATATACGTTTCTCCACTTTGCAATATTTGCACACTGCAAATTGAAGCAGGAGATGTATATGTCATCTCTTTTATTCATGATTTCATCACTGCACAGGGAAATACAAGTGGATTTGTACAATGTCAACAATTATATTCAGATACGTAATCACAATATTGTCCTTTATTAACAAATTCTCCATACCAGGCTTACGACATTACACACTTGACAGTTTACATATCAGCATTTAAAACAGGGTCACTTTATATCAACATGCATATTTCTCTTCTAATGACGTCTGACTCGCTACACACATTATGTATCAAGTAGCAAAGACCATGCATACACACGCAGTTAGAAATACTTTTGTATATAGAGGTAAGATTTATTTCTGTTTGCGTTAATAATATATTGTTTCTGACTGTTCTCCTCCTTTTTTTTTTTATTTGATGTATCTTTCTATCTTTTTGTGCTTTTAAAATATTCTCTTTTTTTTTTACAGATTTATTTATTTCTTTTGGGATAGATTTTGGGGAAAAGTATATGCCTTTCTTCTCCACTTTCTGCGTCTTCTAAATAATCATGTTTCGTGGTTTCTCTTAGGCGAGGCAGGCGACGTGCCGTGTCCAGCGTCGAATCAGATCCCTCCAGGAGGTGGAGTTGGCGGTGGAGGCGGAGGAAGTGGTGGACGAGGCTCGTCCCCTAGTGTATCCGGAATAGCTGCACCCTCGCCATCCCCATCTCAATCACATTCGTCGCCATATGACTTGAGACGCAAGAGTCCGCCTCATCCAGATCCAGCGCCTGGCACGAGTTCTGCTCTACCGCCATCAGGTGGTAGCGGTATAGCCTCTACGGTTGGTTCCTCTTATCTACCAGCGAGGAAACGACCTAGACGAACTTGTTCGCTGTCAACAGATGGTACGTCTTCAAATGATTAATTAATAGTTGAATTAGAAATCGCTCCGCGTATCGGAAAATAAACAATCAACACGATATGATAAATGTGTTATTAATGCATAGCGTAATAGATGCAACGTAATAAACGAACCAAATTTCTTTGCCGCAGGTATAAACACAAACACAGCGGCGCATTACCTCCAATACGAGCTGCCAGATGAGGTGTTGCTCACGATATTCAATTATCTTATGGAGCAAGATCTTTGTCGAGTCTCACAAGTTTGCAAGCGTTTTCAAGCGATTGCGAACGACACAGAGCTGTGGAAGTCGCTGTATCAACAAGTCTACGAGTACGATCTGCCTCTGTTTAATTCGGGGCCGTGTAAATTCGAATTTGTATCACCGGACGAATCCGAGTATCAAAATCCGTGGAAGGAGAGCTTTAGGCAGCTATACCGAGGCGTACACGTGCGCCCCGGCTTTCAGGACTTGAAATTCAAGGGTCGCAATTTACCGTACTTCAACACAGTTCAAGGCGCGCTGGACTACGTGGATGAGTACAGGAGCAACAGTAGCAACTCGTCGAGCGGCAGCACGGCTGCGGGCGGGCAGGGTTGCTGTAACAATAGTAATTCGCAAACAAACGGGGAGGACACATCTTCTCAGCATTTAGTCTTCTTACATGCTGGCACATATAGGGGCGAGTTTCTCGTAATTGACAGCGATGTAGCGTTGATAGGTGCCGCGCCAGGTAATGTCGCGGAATCGGTCATTCTCGAACGTGAAAGCGAATCGACAGTCATGTTTGTGGAAGGTGCTAAACGTGCGTACGCTGGGCATCTGACATTGAAGTTCACACCCGACGTCACTAGTACAGTGCCTCATCACAAACATTATTGTTTAGAGGTGGGCGAAAATTGTAGTCCTACCATCGACCACTGCATCATCAGGAGCTCTAGCGTTGGTGAGTGCGCTTGTGTAATACTCGATACAGATCCATATTGACGTATCAGTTAAAGCTTTGCATCGAAGAATGCAAAATTTAGACTTGGAATTATCGAAAAACTTGAGTGAAGGTCTATAAAATTAAGCCAAATTTTGTGACTACATACAAGTACCCAGTGTTATAACTTTAAAAGACTGAGCCAAGTTCTGCCAGTTTCATATTTCACTAAATAATTTTGATTGGTTAAGATTATTATTAAAATTATGATGAGTTTGTTAAGATTATTCTTTTTCTAATTTCCAGTGGGTGCAGCTGTTTGCGTGTCAGGCGTGGGGGCGAATCCACTAGTAAAGAATTGCGATATATCCGATTGTGAGAATGTCGGCCTTTATGTGACTGACTATGCACAGGGCACTTATGAAGATAACGAAATCTCGCGGAATGCGTTGGCTGGAATTTGGGTAAAAAACTATGCGAATCCCATTATGCGCCGTAATCACATCCATCACGGTCGTGACGTTGGAATATTTACATTCGACAACGGGCTCGGATACTTCGAAGCCAATGATATTCACAATAATCGAATAGCGGGCTTCGAGGTTAAGGCTGGCGCGAATCCGACGGTTGTTCACTGTGAAATTCATCACGGCCAAACCGGTGGGATTTATGTTCACGAAAACGGTCTGGGACAGTTTATCGATAACAAGATACATTCGAATAACTTTGCCGGTGTCTGGATCACGTCGAACTCGAATCCAACTATTCGGCGGAACGAGATCTACAACGGCCACCAAGGTGGAGTGTACATTTTCGGCGAAGGTAGAGGTCTGATCGAGCACAATAATATCTACGGCAACGCGCTTGCCGGCATACAAATTAGGACGAATTCCGATCCGATAGTTCGACACAACAAGATACATCACGGTCAGCACGGCGGGATTTACGTGCACGAGAAAGGCCAGGGCCTAATAGAGGAAAATGAAGTCTACGCCAACACTTTGGCAGGCGTGTGGATCACGACTGGTTCGACGCCGGTTTTAAGGAGAAATCGGATCCACAGCGGCAAACAAGTCGGTGTATATTTCTATGACAACGGTCATGGAAAATTGGAGGACAATGATATTTTCAATCATTTATATTCAGGAGTACAAATAAGGTAATTTACTTAAAAAAATCTAAAAAACGGGGACTTGAAGACTCCTTGATGCCATCTTGATGTATAAGCAAAGTATAATAACGAGAAAATCACCTGCACGCACGTTTTCTTGTCTAGGACTGGCAGTAATCCAGTAATACGCGGCAACAAGATATGGGGCGGTCAAAACGGCGGTGTTCTTGTGTATAATAGTGGCTTAGGTTTACTCGAACAAAATGAGATTTTCGATAACGCAATGGCTGGCGTTTGGATTAAAACCGATAGCAATCCAACCCTTAAACGGAACAAAATATTCGACGGGCGAGACGGCGGAATCTGTATATTTAACGGGGGCAAAGGTAAAGTATTCTACTTGCGAAACTCCAATCATTTTTGTGCCGTCAATCAACAATAAGTATTATGTAAGCAGTTGAACATTTTTCTTAAACACGTAATCTACTTTTTCAAATATAATTTGTCCGAGTTTTATTAAAATGTGTGCCAGTTTAAAAAAATTTGTTTTAATAAAATTAAATATTAATTAAACGAGCGTTAAAAGCAAATAATTTATTTAATTGCGAATGGCATAATCAAAAGTAAAATCTACATTGTGTCGATAAGCTCAATGCTTTGTAGCTTTCACAATACAGAACATAATTATTCCAGTTGAAAAATCTCATAATATTTCTGTAAATGCAATTTTATTCGTTAAAAAGAAGTGCTCGTTAGATAATACAATATAAGAATGCATTTAATTGTGATTGTTTATGCATCCTGCAATAGGTGTTTTGGAGGAAAACGATATCTTTCGCAATGCGCAAGCGGGTGTACTCATTTCGACACAGTCGCAGCCAATCTTGAGGAGAAATCGGATTTTCGACGGATTGGCAGCTGGCGTTGAAATAACCAATAATGCCACTGCCACGTTGGAATTCAATCAAATATTCAATAATCGATTCGGTGGCTTATGTTTAGCGAGCGGGGTACAACCGACAACTAGAGGTAAACATTTGTTTCCGGCAGGATTTGTCGGCGCATTTAATCAGAAGAAACATACTAATTATCACACGTGTCTTTCTTTTTCAGGCAATAAAATATTTAATAATCAAGACGCGGTGGAGAAAGCGGTTGCAAATGGCCAATGTCTGTACAAAATCTCGTCGTACACTTCCTTCCCCATGCATGACTTTTACCGTTGTCAAACGTGCAACACGACAGACCGTAATGCGATATGCGTTAATTGTATAAAAACTTGTCATGCTGGTCACGACGTAGAATTCATCAGACACGATCGGTGAGAGACGTCTCCCTTGATTTTACGCATTATTTTTAGACGCATGCTTCCCACAAATTACGTAAATCTAATTGTACGTTGATATTTTTAGATTCTTTTGTGATTGCGGTGCCGGAACGTTGAGCAATCAATGTCAGCTGCAGGGCGAGCCTACGCAAGACACCGATACGTTATATGATAGTGCGGCGCCCATGGAATCGCATACACTTATGGTCAACTAGGAATTAACCTAAAATAATTTAAACAATCAAACAATGTTAGAGCCATAAGTCCAGTAATATTGCCGGCACAAGCGGTAAGCCGAGTTCTTTATTATGATCTTTACATTGCTTCATTATATTATAATTGTTATTCTTTAAAAAAAGAATAGTCTTGTATGACAAATTGCTTTATCACAAAGATATTTTGTTATTGTTAATATGTAACACTATAGTACTACGTCAATATTATATTATTTCATTTCTTTCTCTTATCGAAATCGCTATTTCTAATTTTCATATTATTCATTATGATTTTTTTGTCTTATTTTTTAAAAAGTTTATTTCAGAATTCTTGTTACGTCATCCGTTTGAAACGGTTAACATATTTTTACGGATAAATTACCTATTCGCTAATTTCCATATATTTTATTTTGAGCTTTGGTCGATCATTAATTTCTTTTCTATAGTTTAAAATTTATAGGACGATTGTTTTAGATGCATTTTATATATTACAAATTTTATTGCAAATGTTATTATCTCTCTTTGGTTGATTCTTGTTGAAGAATTTTTAGAAAGAAAGATTATACATTTCTTTCTGAAATGAAAATTAATAAGGAACTCGGCGATTGAATCGCCAAGGAACGGTAGTAATGAAATAACAAAGAAAATCCTCATATGTAAAACACGCAGTATAATATTAGATATATCAAATTAATTTAAATGTGTAAACGAGGGAAACACTAGGCTAATTGTAAATTGAACTTCTTACGTGATCCTTTTTATCGAGGTTCTGCAATTCCCGAAATCTTCGTATGACGCAGTGCTGAGCCATGTAAAATCGAGCGTGGAAAGAAACATGTATACGCCATAAGGCCGTCTTCACATACATCATTTCGTGACATAGGTCGTTTTGAGGTCTCGTAATACGCCCTAATAAACTGCTTAAAACTCTAACAACAGCCGCGATAACGTAGATAAGACGAATGTAAGTTCACACAGTGTGAAACAGTGTATCCGGTATGTAAATTGTGTATATCGAACGCGAAGCAACGTTAAGAGTGGGTAATGCATATATTACCTGCTCTTGAGCAAAAGCATCAACACCATAATAAAAGAGCGTAAAGTATATAAATAAAATTTGCACTCGACAGTTATAATAGGAGACTTATACCAGTTAATAATTATACCAGTGTATAAAGAGACGCAAGCAGTGCGTGTTGAGTGTCACACTCGTCGGGATCGTAAAACTAAAAACGTTAAACACAGGAAAAGATCAGGAAAAAAAAGGGAAAGAACCGTAAAACCAACACGTCACGGAACCTCATGATCGTTAACATACTAACAAGTGCAACTTCATTGATGGGCTTGTCGAATCTGTGCGGTACAAATTTCGAGGAAGAAAACGAAGAAAGAGGAGCGTGGACATCAGCACGATGAAGATCTGTAAGAGACATACCGAAACTAATGTCTAAAATATGTGATATACAAAACTCACACAAGTGGAATAAATCAAAATGAAGATAAACATTCTGCTAATTTTTCGACGTAAACGTACCTCGTAATTAACGCGTAACGGTTCCATTAATCGCAGTGGTGAATTATGTGATGGTCCTAAGTTGCCCCGATGGGCGAAGTGCATAATAAGGACGAAGTAAATATTCAAAGTTAAATTATAAAAACTAAAACGGAAAGAATGGAAAAGTGTGTTGCGTACACGCGGATGTGCGACGATGTATACCAGTGAAAAATGAAAAAACGAAATAGAGGAAGTTAAACGTTCGAAATGTACTGTCCGAGGAACAGTTTTTAAAAAGTAATCTCGAATTTTTCAGAGTAATCCGATTTTTTTAATTATTACGTTAGTGGGTAAAAGAAGTCTAATCGCATTATTGTAACTGTAATTTTTCCGGGAGCGGTGCGCGCGCTCCCGTGCGAGAAAAGGAAGCGCCTATTAGCGATATAATTTTAGACCGAGAAATCACCTTTATTTACGCAAATGATACACATATATAAATAAGTAGAGAAGAACGTGAGGCATCACTGTCGTAAATTTTGTTCGAAATTAATAATATAATTCGTTATCGTATGTAAGCGGTATCTTTTATATGTTGTATGCGGAAGCGCATGAAAATTGTTCTTGAGCTTACCGACCCGGCAGAGTATTGTATACAATGTCATATTATATATATATAATGTTGTATATGATGTCTAGCACTAGCGGATCCTGATGTCGATAGTGGAGGGTGGAGGTTCGACAAAATTATTTAGTTTGATATTTTTTTGGTTTCACGCTTAGCGTTGCATCGTATCACTGCTAGACGCGCTCATATAAACCATTGGTTGGCAAATAAGTTCGTTCGGTTTTTGGTTGGTACTACTTGCAATGCTGACTTCATTCTTTTCCTTTCGGTGTTACATTGTAACTCAATTCGACATTTGAAAGGTTATCTTTTACGTAAATTTTCCATAAAGTTTGGTTGTGCTAACATTAGTATTGTGTGCGCTTGGTACTTGTAAAATGGAAGTGGACAAAGTGCATTATCGTCATATTTTGCGTTACTATTTCCAAAAAGGCAAGCGAGCTACGGATGCTCATAAAAAAATATGCCGTGTGTATGGGGATGATGCCCTAACAGAACGTGCATGCCAAAAATGGTTTGCCCAAATTCCGTTCTGGAAATTTTGATATTGCTGATGCGCCCAGACCCGGTCGCCCTACTGTCCATATAGGAATTGACAAACGGCCCAGTATTGGGTCAATATCGGCAAACGAGACTCGATATCGGCATGATATTAGTAGCCAATACTGGACGAATATGCTTAGTGATCAGATCAGGCCAACGCTCTTAAGCCTGGTACGATATTAACTTTCGATATTAGCCCGATTGCTTTTAAGTATTGGCACAATGTTGCAGTTTGATACTGGCGGGACAATCTTAGCCAATACTGGCCGAATATTCTTAAATCAAAACAGACCGAAGTTGGCATTTAAGTTTGGTACGGTGATACTTATTGTTAGTAGAAAGAATTAACAATGCTCTTAAATTGTCAGAATTAATTTTATTAACGAAAAAATTATAATGCCATCAAATTTTTCAACTTAAATCAGTCGGATATTTTTTCGAACAAAAAATAAGATTATAATTTTTAATTTCACCGATTGACTAAATAAAAGCAAGAAAAAATCACAATATGAGTAATATTCTTGCGCAAAAAGAACAAAAAATAAAATTTGTTTTTCAAAATCTAGTAATAGTATAACTAATCAAATAAAAAATAACTTTATATACTAAACATACACATACACTCCAGGCCAAAAGTTTGGATACATTGTTCTAAGCAGCATTTAAATGTGCTTAAACGGAATTTTTCGCTTCTATAGTATTTTCTTTTATACTTATCGCGTTTATTATTCTATTAGGTATTAAGAAAATGCATACATATATGCCTAGGTCTAAATGTACCAGAGAGGTAAATTAATTAAATTTGAGTAGTGTGCATATTTATTTAAACACTTGAAAAAAGTTCTTCGTGCGTACTCGAATTTCTGTAAGTAACTACTTGTGTTTATGTTTTGCTTGCGATAATATAAACACTTTGAAGTGCGTTGCGGACTTGTTTGTGTATGCTAAAGCAGATAAACCTTAATAGTGAAAACGACAGCGAAGCTTTAACAAGTGTATTGATACTGGCTTTGTAAATTGATAATTTTATAGAAAACATGGCAAAATCTAAAGAAATTTCGATTGATAAGAGAAATGCTATCGCAACTTTATACAAAGAAGGTCAGTCATATAGAATTATTGCAAAAAAAATGAAAGTGTCGCTGAAGAGTGTCCAAACTACCATAGCGCGCTACAAAACATCCGATAGTCTGGTTGACGGTACTTGCTCAGGACGCCCAAAAGTAACCACTTCTCAAGAGGATCAGTATATGGTGGTTACAAGCAAGCGAAATAGACGATTAACAGCATCTGAAATCCGTGCAGAAGTGAACAGAAGCCGTGATAATGCGGTCTCTCTCACTACAGTAAAACGACGTTTGAGAAATGCAGGCCTCAAAGGCCGTGTGGCAGTCAAAAAACCTTTACTGCGTCCGGGAGTACAAATTAGTTCGGTCCGTTTTCCAAAAGATAACTCTAACTGTTGTGAATAGTTCATAGTGACAGCTGATTTTGGCGGTTTCAGAGAGGTTAGACATCTGCTAATAATATTCAGTTTACCTATATCGCTTTGAGTTTCATACAAAAACCTTGATTTTTACTGTGTTCGAAATGTCGAATTTTGTGCTAACCAAGCAGCATTTGCGGGAAGTTTTAATTTTCTGCTTTAATTGGAAGAAAAGTGCAGCTAAAGCCCATCGAATGCTTGTCGAAGTTTATGGTGACACTGCTCCAACTGATAAATCATGTAGGGAATGGTTTCGACGTTTCAAGGATGGAAATTTCAGCGTTGAAGACAAGCCTCGTTCTGGACAGCCAAAAAAATTCGAAGACAAAGAATTAGAGGCATTACTCGAAGAAGATCAGAGTCAAACGCAAGAGGAGCTTGCAGGATCATTGGGAGTAACTCAACAAGCCGTTTCTGTACGATTGAGAGCCATGGGAATGATACAAAAACAAGGAAATTGGGTGCTTTATGAACTCAAACCGAGAGACGTTGAAAGACGATTTTTCACTTGCGAGCTGCTGATTCAAAGGCAACAAAGAAAAGGTTTTTTGCATCGGATTGTGACTGGAGATGAGAAGTGGATATTCTACGACAACCCCAAGAGGAAAAAATACTACGCTAAGCCCGGTCAATCGTTGCCATCGACCTCAACATCAACTCCAAAGCCGAACATTCATGGTTCGAAGATCATGCTCTGTATCTGGTGGGATCAAAAGGGTGTTGTTTATTATGAGCTGCTGAAACCTGGCGATTCCATTACGGGCGATCGGTATCGGCTTCAATTGGTTCGTTTGAGCCGTGCATTGCGAGAAAAACGGCCGGAATACGAGCAAAGACATGATAAAGTTATTCTTCTTCATGACAACGCTCGGCCTCATGTTGCAAAAGTCGTAAAAAAATATTTGGAAACGCTCAAATGGGATGTTTTACCGCACCCGCCGTATTCTTTGGACATTGCTCCTTCTGATTACTGGTTGTTCCGAAAGATGCAGCACGATTTGGCAGGTCACCGGTTCACTTTTTTCGCAGAATTGGATCGCCTCTAAAGACGAGTCATTTTTTCGAGATAGAATTCGAAAATTGGTTGAGAGATGGGAAAAAGTAGTAGCCAGCGATGGACAATACTTTAATTAATCTGTTCATTTATTTGTTTTGAAATAAATGCATTTTTGAACACAAAAAAACGGACCGAACTAATTTGTACTCCCAATATAAATAAAAAGAAACGTCTACAATGGGCCCAGCAGCATCGAAATTGGACATTGGAACAATGAAAAAATGTTATATGGACTGATGAATCAAAGTTTGAACTTTTTGGCACTCGTACGCGAATTTACGTGAGAAGAAGCAGTATAGAAAAAATGGCGCCACAATGCATAATGCCCACAGTGAAACATGTGGCAGAATCTATTAAAACAGAACCTATTAAAACTGTAACTCACAGATTGTCAGTAGTGCCAGTATCGGGCCTGTTGTTTTACCAGTGCAAAAACGATGCTTGGTAAAATTACAGTTTGAATGTTGGTCTTCTTGTCAATATTGGCCCAATATGGATGCCGAGTACTGGTGAAACAAGCAGGCTAATATTGGGCTATTTATAAATACAAGACTGAGACAAGACTGGGCCAATTGTCAATATCGAATATCGGCTATCATGGTTGAGCCTTTATTAGTCCAGTGGTACTACAGGAATGCTATCGGCAATTCCTACATGGGTGAGATTAATTCGGATGATGTCAAAGCTTTCGTCGATAATAATCCATCCCAATCGGTGCGAGAGATTGCTACAGCACTCAATAGATCCCACACAAGCGTTGAAAATCATTTGCGCCAGCTGGGATACGTTTCTCGGCTCAATGTTTGGGTCCCGCATAAATTAACCGAAGTCAGCTTGACTGCACGCATATCAATCTGCAAATCGCTACAAAAACGTCAAGAAAGCGCCCCATTTTTGAAGCGGATGGTGACGGGAGATGAGAAATGGATCGTCTACGAAAACGTAGTGCGAAAAAGATCGTGGGGAAACGCGAATGAACCACCGCAATCAACCTCGAAGGCAGGATTACATCCACAGAAAATCATGCTCTCCGTATGGTGGGATTTTAAAGGTGTTATTTTTTATGAACTGTTACCATCAGGAAGAACGATTGATTCAACTGTGTATTGCACACAGTTGACGAAATTGGACGAAGCAATCCGCAAAAAGCACCCAGAATTGGCAAATCGCAAGGGTGTTGTCTTCCACCACGATAACACCAAACCTCATACATCATTGCTCACTCGGAACAAATTGTTAAGTCTTGGCTGGGATGTTTTGCCTCATTCTGCATATTCACCGGACCTAGCTCCTTCCGATTTCCATCTATTCCGATCGCAAAACTCTTTAAACGGAAAAACCTTCGAAAATGAAGATGTCAAAAACCATCTGGATTGGTTTTTCGCCGATAAATCGCAGAAGTTTTACGAGCGCGGCATAATGAAGTTGATAGAAAAGTGGCAAGAGGTCATTGATTAAAGGGGCGAATACATAATTAATTAAAATTTACTCTATAAAAATTAATGTGTTATATTCCGTTATAAAAAACCGAACGAACTTATTTGCCAACCCAATATATGGTAGGGAGGCGTGTACAGAGACGGAGGAAACGAGCGCGCAGAATGGGAGAACAGACTCCTGAGAGCTGAGAGTTTGATCAACAGGCGCCTCCACGTCGATAGGCCTGCTTTAACGTTTGATGCATTTTTTTACTAAGATTTTTGAAACTGATTCAGCAAAATTTATTTCTTTTAACTTGGAAGGGAAGGGTCCTTAACCCCCCCCCCCCCCCCTCTACGACTCCGCCACGTGAGGTCTAGTAACAAATAGATAATACTAAGTTGAGAGAAGCATTTTTCATACGCGCGCCGCATTGACCTAAAAAGAAACACGCTCTGTATCGAATATTTAGGTTCTTGAGTGATATATCGTATGGTCTGTTAATAATATAATTTTGTTAATGATTGTTCATTTAACGAATTTTTTGGATTCTC